TCAGCTGATTCATAAAATATATAAAGCTCTGCCCACACTATCAAATTTTTAAAACTCTTGTGTACGTCATGATGTGATGTCATCATAACCATATATAGTCATGATGTTCCTATATATGGTCATGATGTGATGTGATCATAACCATATATAGTCATGATGTTCCTATATATGGTGATGATGTGATGTCATCATGACCATATTTAGGCATGTCACATTTTTTTGTCAAATAAAACTTGATAGTGTGGACAGGGCTTAAACCTATTTTTAAACTTAAAATTTGTTTTTAAACTGAAGTAAAATTTAAGCATTGAAAATTCAGCATAGAATATCATGTTCCTGATTTGTTGTAATTGTCTTTTTTCTTATAGTGTTTAGACACTTTGAATACACCTGGACACACTAATGGCTGTATGACCTTTGTACTGAAAACTGAGGGTCAACCAATCATGGCATTCACAGGAGATGCCATTCTCATAAGGGGGTGTGGCAGGACAGATTTTCAGGAAGGTAAATGTTCATTTACTACAATTATCTTCATCATCACTGTTGTCATCATCACTATCGTCAATAATCATCATTAACATTATCATCATCATCGTCAGTCTTGTCATCATAGTCACCTTTATCATAGGGGGTGACACCAGTAATTGTGGATTACCGTGATGATGATGAACTTGATTTGAATAATAATAAAGGGAAGTTAATGATGATGGTGATGAAAATATTTAAGAAAATAATTGTAATCGGTTTTTGTTGATTTTCTTTAAGGTGATTCATCAGTACTATATGATAGTGTCCACGGAAAAATCCTGTCAATGCCTAAAGACACAATCCTTTATCCCGCTCATGACTACACAGGTGGGTAAAGCTTCCAAGAAAATTTACAAACCACTTCACAAACATTTCTTTAAAGAACATAATTTGATTTTCTGTGATGTATAACAACACAAGTTAAATATGTCTTTTTATATTTGAGGTCAATTTGTTACCACGATTGGTGAAGAACTAAAATTCAACCCAAGGCTTTCACAACCAAAGGAGCGGTTTTTAGAGATAATGGAACAGTTGAACTTGCCATATCCAAAAGCAATAGGTAAGGAACTTAAATGAGTTATTTGTGGTGCACTAGGTAAGGTGCCAGCCTTACCACTTTCATGGTGTTGGGTTCAATCTATACAAATTCTTCATACGATTATTTCCTGCGTGACTGGATCACATGAGTTGATACAGATGTTAAGAGGCACAAAGCCTCAACAACATGATTTCATCACAGATTTTTATGTTGCGCAAGTATGAGGTCAACTTTAAGAGTACATTAATGAAGTGGGGAAACTTTTTTTTTATGTATTTTTGCAGACAAAGCTTTGCCAGCCAATATGGTATGTGGAATATATGATGTTGAGAAAACATGTTAGACAAGGAACACACACTAGCAGACAGCAGGCTACCATTGACACACAGTTGGATACCTTTCATAATTGTGTATATTTACGTTGATCTAAGTCGGGTTGGCATTCAAACCAACCGCAGGGCCAAAGTGAATTTTGATTTAACACTGAGGGCTGCACCCAAACTTTGATGTTTCAAGTTGGCTTTCAAAAACCTTCATTCACTGCTTATATTTCACGTTATTTTCAGTTTTAATATTAATTTTTACAGATAATTGGTCTCAGGCCATAAAAAACAAGGTGTTTTCTATTTAAAGACATTTGGCTGGCTGCACACGTAGAGTTTTTAATTAGTTTTCGTGGGCCGCAAAAAAAATTGTTGTCGGGCCACAATTGTTGTCGGGCCACACTTTGCCCACCTGTCATCTAAGTTTACTATTTTTATGTAATGTACAGCCATGGCATCTTCTGGTTCAAAGTCCTAACAAACCTAATTAAGAAAAAAAATTGAAATACAGTTCGTTTACTCGTTGCTGTGTTGTGTACCTTCTGAATAAATTCTCTAAATCCTGGATTTTGGGAAATACCATGTTCTATGTTTATCATTTTTGAATATAGAGTATCACAGTCATGTCGTCACGACATCAGGTGGTGCTCTGTTGTCAACAGACGTTGGTTACCGTTCATTAGGCCTCAATGACTTCATAGGCTTTCTGGAATAGGCATTTTAAAATTTAATATTTTACCATCAAAATGTACTAAAAATACAAAAGCTCGATTTTTTTAAAGTTATCAAACACACATTTAATCATCAATTAAAATTGACAAAGAAAAAGTAAGATACAACATCTTAATAATTACGTTAGAAATTGGGATCAATGGTTTGTCAGTGGAGAAAATGGCGCACGGTTGAACGTTTTTTGCAACGATAGCAACAGAGTAGTATTACGCGGTGTCGTGACATAATCACTGTAGTACTCTATACTGCACTTGCACAGATATGCTCATGCTTACTTCTGTATACTCATACTGCTATCTTGGGCCTATTTTTATCCTGTGTTCTTCGATCAGTGCTGAAGCATTGGCTTCATTCAGAGTACTTTATAAAAATCATGAAAGATAAATTAGATGCATTAGGTTTATTGATTTAATTTCTAGAGCACTCAAAATCATGTGTTAACCACCAAAGAAGGCCATGTGGCAAACAGAAAAATACAATTTTTGGAGGCTTTTGTGTGGTGCTTATTGGAGAGAGGCGCTTATAAAAATGTTGGCATGGCGCTTTCTACTATCGTTTCCATGTTACCTATCTCACATATTCCCGTAGTTCAGTAGGCCTATTATAGTTCACATCATCGTAAATAAACGTTTATGTATGGAAATGCTTGTGTCTTCATTGTGTTATTTATTTATTTTAACACTGTATACATTGTATTTAGACCTTTTTTCAAAGTGTTTCATTACACACAGTGTACTCTCGATTAAGCACCGCGGCACTTATTCGAGCATTTACCTTAATCTAGAATGAAGGTGGGCGTGGCCAGGGGGCATGGGTAACAGCATGTACCCCACCCATTGATGATACAGTACTAATAGTAATAAGGGCGTTCTTTATCAGGCTATGCTTGCCCATTGCTCTTGATACTGAAGTTTTAATGATGTCTTGTAAAATGCATATTATAAATGATTTGTTATTTTATTACAAAGAAAATGTATTGAAGTAATATAAAAAGTAATGTTTATAGAGCAAAAATCTGTCCCATCTGATGTGTTTCTATAATTCTGCTGAACCCCTTTTTGAGTGCAAACCCTTAAGCCCTGTCCAGACAATCAAATGTTCTGTTGGGTCACGTTGTGATGTCATCATGACCATATTAAGGCATGTCACATGTTTTTGTCTGGACAGAGCATTACATAATATACCATTATGTTTATATAATTCACTGTTAACCTCCTAAATTAAGTAGTATTTTATTTAGAATTTACTATTCATGCTACTAATGTTATAGAGGGAAGACCCTCTCTAAATAATGTTTTTGATTTGTAAACAAGTGTCTGACGTTAGCAGCTGATGGAATTAAGGGAAGTACTACTGTGAATTCTCAGGGTGATTGGACCTTATGGTAAATCAATTTGTATTTATTTTTCTAATAATAATAATGATGATTGAAAATAAACATTGATTTATATATGTTGTATGAGAGTGAAAATGTCTCTGTCCTCATTTATTGCATACAGATGTGAAGAGATACAACTTACATTTGCACATTTTTTTTTTTTTTGTGGCATTGATTGAAGTAGTTTATTTCCTTAAGCCCTGTCTAGACTTAAATTTTATTTTTCAAAAAAAAGTTGTATGCCCATACATAGTCACGACGTGATGTAATCATGACCATAGTTTGGAATATCCCCAGTTTTTGTCAAATAAAATTGGACAGCCTGGACAGGCTGTAATAGGCGCTACTGTATATCAGTTGAAACATCTGATGAGCATTGTCGGCTTTGGTGTGTTTCAAACCATGTCAACAAAGGTACATGTATTGCATACAAATGTTTTAAAAAATAGATACAAGAGGTACTGTACATACAAATTTCTGTATTAAAATATTTTAATTCCATGCCAAATATTTACATAATACAATAATAGCAGCCGTAGACTTACTACAAAACATAATGCTCACTTGTACTTGATTCAAATGAGAGAAACTGTTCCACTTGAAGCATACTATGCTAGAAAAAACTTAGCTAGCACCCCCTGCTGTAGCTGCACATGGGAATGTGCATTGTGCAAGAAAAGTTTGTATGATAATGATAAGCCTATATATGGTCATAATGTTATCGTGACCATATTTAAGCATATCGCATGTTTTTGTCAAATATTCTAGACAAGGCTTAATAAGAAAAACATGCATTACCCCAGGCATATTTATCATTGATGTGTGTACAGTACATGCTGACATTGGCTTTGCTTGTGGCTTCCTGTGTGTCTTCACTGTCCATCTATTTACATATCTTTTCCCAAGCAACATATATTTATTATAAACATAACTGCTGTATTATTAATCATTGAGCTAGAATTTAAATCAAAAAACTGTTGTAAGCCCTTATATAGTCATGACATGTCTATATATGGTCATGATGTAATGTCATCTTGACCAAATTTAGGCATGTCATGTTTTTTTTAAAATAATATTTGATAGTCTAGACGGCTTATAGTCCATGTGATATTTTGCTCTTGTCTTAATTTTGTCTCGTGTAATATTTTGTCTCATGAACTGTGTATTTTCGGAAGCGAGCAGGTATACAGTACTTATCATGTGGATGTTGTGGCTGTACTACTAAGGAGTCTAGAGTCTAGTAAAATGGAAGGATTAAAGTCTGTCAAAAGATTCCTTAGATTTATTTCGCTGGGGGCACTTTTCCTCCTTGCGTTTTGATACGCCTGGAAATTGATGGCGGGATCTCGCATGCTTTGGTCAAAGACCGATGACCGTTCATCCTGTTTGCAGATGTCAAACTTCATCCACTTGTAGTTGGTGTATTTACGTGGCCCAGGTGAACTTTGGATGAGATTCTGGATGGTGGGTTTCGAGAAACCGAAGAAAGCTGGTCCACTACCTTTGGATTCTGAGACGACTTCCCTGCCACTATAGAAACAAGTAGAAATAGGTATGTTTAGATATCAGGTACACAATATATAAGATATATAATATAACAATTATTCCTGTATAATTAAACAAAACCATGCAGAATAGAAAGCTGCTATTTCAGGAAGTGGAGTTGAATAGCTTAGTGGTTAGGTGCCTGCCTTCTAATCCCAGGGTCTTGGGTTCAATTCCTGTGACAGTAGGAGTTTTTCTCCACTCGATAAGCCTCATAAAGAGACTTGGCTGATAACAGCACTGTGTTATTTCATTTATTTAAGAGGGCCCCTGTATATCAGCCCTCTTCATAGGATACACTGGAAGGGACACCCTCTATGGTTAAAAGAAACAGTCAAACCCTTCAGTAGTTTTCCATGAAATAATGTCTAAAAAACTGTTATATCTGTAAAATATTAAAACGTACCATGCATTGTTAACGGCCTTCAATAGTGCTGCATGTGCTAGAGATGCTGAATTGGCTTCAAAAGTAACACCAGGTTTGTCATCAGACACAATTTCAAACTATAAAACAAACACATTTATTGCATACAGTATTTAGTATACAGTAATTAACTAATGTTACATTACACTAGCAGGTCTGTAAAGCTCTCTCCACACGATCAAAGTTCACAAATCAGAAGTGATGTTGGTAGTCTATGAGTGAGATACACTGACTAATTGCCATTGTTCCTTAAAGAACACCCCTACGACAAAAATAGAACTGACTGATTGTCCCAGCACGTGACTGCGCCCACACCCTCATCCACACCCAAGCGATTCAACGAGTGTTGAAATTGAACAGAAGAAAACAGAAGAAGCAGGACTGTATTCAGAAGACTGGATTTCCTTTGTTTACTATATCTTTTTAAAGTTTTAATAAAGGGCACTTGAGTTTTTTTTTTTGTGTTTCGTACCATGTCGATCACTCGTAGCAAAGCTTGCTGCGCCGAGTGTGAGGGGCCTAAGCCTGGTGTTAAGTTTAACAAGCATTTGGCTTGCCCATGCTGTTGGACTCGCAATGAAGAAGAGCTTTATTTGATTAAAAAACTGTTGTATGCCCATATATAATCATGATGTGCATGGTCGTCTGATGATGTGCATGGTTGTATGATGACGTCATGACCATATTTAAGGTTTTCACATGTTTTTATCAAATAAAATTTGATAGTCTGGACTGGGCACACATTATGTCACCCAACAGCTTTCATCATGATTTCAAACTTATTCTTTATACAATACTCCCTCAAATTATAGACCTCTCCAATTCAAGACCACCTTCCTGTGATCCCAAATTAACAAATGCCTGTTATATTTATTATTCTAATTAGAGACCATGGAAACCACGCTCCCAAAATTGGTCTTTAATTGTAAGGAGACCTGTATTTGACTTGAATTGAAATTGAATTGAATTGAATTGAATTGAATTGAAAATTGAATTGAATTGAAATTGAATTGAAATTGAATTGAATTGAATTGAATTGAATTGAATTGATTTGCAATTTTCAATCAATTCATAAATCAGTTCAATAAATCAGTAATTAAAAATCACCAAGGCAACTGTCAAACAATTACCAAGACTCACTCTTGGTCCTGTTACACCATCAAGTATCTTGCATGTGTACAGACACATAACATCTGGATCCTTGACACTCACAAATGTCCGTGAACTACAGTAGCCTACGGGGTATATGTACTTGTCTGAGTGAAATCCTGGACGATCGATGATAACGTCACCCAGACTATGGACTGTAAGGTCACCGAGGACGATTGGAAATACTGGCCTCCCTAGGTTTATAGAAATAAAATAGGAAGTTAATATAAGATATGAATAAAATATCTTGAGAAATAATTATTATGAATGAAGTTGATGAACTTGGTGGTTAAAGATTCCCAATCCCAGGGTCCTAAGTTCAATTCCTGTCACGATAACATGATCCACTCCCTAAGACTCGTAATGAGGCTTAGTTTATGTAAAGCATCTTGTTTATATGTTTGTCTTGTGAAAGGATTGCCACTTGATTAAGTTCACTATTGGCATATCCTTGGCCCTGAGCCTAAAAATTTAATAAATAAATAAACATATTATTCAAAAACTTGTACCTGAAGCATCTAAGGTGATTGGCTGAACGAGTTTTCTTGAAGGATTTGACTTTTTCGTCTTAGAACGAGACTCGGTTTTCTTGTCTGTAAAGATGGAGGAAAAGCACAATAAAACCGTGTCTAAATACTACGGAATTTACTTTAGAGCTACGCTTTGAGACTTCGGTATAAAGTGCTACAGTATATAAATTATTTGTAGTGAAATGCCAAAATACACTCGTAAAAAAATGTGTAATAAAATGTTAGTGTCATATGTTATTGTTAGCTGTAAACACAAAAAATGACAAACCTTTCATGTGTTTTCTGTCCTTGGATTTATCTCTATCCTTCTTATGTTTATTTTTGCTTTTATTCTTTATTTTTCCATCTTTCTTGCTGGCAGAGTCTTGTGAGCGTGAACTAATATCTGACGACGGCCCTGGTGATGCGTTTTTAACAGACGTGTTTATAGATTGGCCAGCGTGCAGTGCATTAGCTTGTCTCAGAGCCTGCTGCTTGAGCACTCGTTTCAAAAGCAGTTTCCGCTCTTCCATTACTCGTATAATTTTTTCTTCAGTCCGGCAAATCTCATCACATAGGGCTGCATTTTCCTGGAATATTAAATCAATCATTAAATCAAGCATAAATTTCAATATGTGATGTTGCATTGCATAGTTGAAATATTGTGAGTTTATTATATAACTCATGGTACTGTAAACGTATAGCTAATGATAAACTTACAAAAATCATGGATTTTGCAACTTTCCTGAGCTTTCGGAAACGTTTGCTATATCGTTCGTTCTCACTCTCTTTTGGTTGGTTCTTTTGTGTTGTCTTGGTTACTTGGTAATTTTCGCTTCTCCATTTTTTCTCTTCTGGAGACTTTTTCAACAAAAAAAATTTACATTTGCTATAAATTTGCCAAAAATTGTTAAGAGAAATTTAATGCATATATCACAATATAATTATTGTTTTACAGTCTGTCCATATACTCACCAACAGTTTAAACATTCCAAGATGTCCATCAACTTTTGTGAACCTTGCTTTGGGCTTCTGAGCATCACGGTACAGGATCGACTCCAAGCTGGTTCTTGCATTTGATTGGATCAAACCTTGGCCCAGTATCTGTTGCTTGATTTCTTTGATGTGCATCGGGCGGTTGGCAGCACTTAGAACTTGCTAGAGAGTGGAAAGGTCTCAGATGTTGTTACACACTTTTAGTTCGGCGAGCCCACCACCCAAGGATGATGATTTCAAATTTTTAATATACCCTCATTCTCCACCTCATAAGCTTCAAATGGGTCATTTACTAGACTACTGTATTGCCAAAGTTATGAGTAAAATTATTACTATTAGCGTATTCTCTGTATTAAAGTAGACAATAGTGCCACATTACTCAGTTTTACAATTAGCAACAGTATGCTGGTTTTGGGATGGCATGCCTCAAATTTGTAATTGTAAGGATGCATCTTTTTCTTTTAGTGCAATTCATAATTTGTGCTTTATGAAAAATGTCATTTTGTTTCTGTTTGAAGTGATTTTAAAAGATACATCAGGCCTGTTCTGGTTTATTTTGTTATTTGCCTGGAAATAATTATGAAGTAAATGAAATGATATTACAAATTATCAAACATTTATTTTTTTATTTTTTTTGTTTGACAAATGATATCTTATTTCATACTCTATGGTTGCATATTTCACAATCACAAGATGATGTTTCAAAGGGAGAGCCACATTTAGTTATAATTGATGAATTTTTAATGGATGATGATAACCTGCTTACCTCGGCTGCTTTCAACCAGGTCATGCTGGATTTATCCATCTGATCTGCAACACTGATCAACAACATAGAAAAAAAGCAAACATTTTGTAAGAATAAGTACAAACCAATGACATGAATATTCTTTTGCTACTAAGCATTTGTTTTGTTTTATACCTACTCCTCCGAATAACATCATGCATTCTTTTAAAGTATATTCAGATATGTGGTTGGGCATCTTATCTACTGCCCATTAGAATATACTGTACATGCAACTACCATTAGTTAACTAATGATGTGTTTAACAGTTAATCAATAATAAATAATTCAATCACATCACATTTATTCATTAGGAGCTTTCGATTTGAGCGTAACCATTCTACGTTCTCTGCACAATGTAGATTTGGTCATTTTGCGCCCTAGAACAAGTACTTAACGTTCTTGCATGCGCAGATTACTTCTTACTGACGTCATTACTTCTTATGTCCTACACACCAATTGAAAGCTCCTATTAACTATACTTGAGGACACCATACCAGGGCTCAGACTTGACATCTTCTGGTATTAAATTGTCTGTCACTTCCAGACCTTGTAGAACGTCAGATTGTGATAGCTGTGGAGGGGCGTGTTGCTCCATCGAGGACACGAATGAGGCTACACTTCCAGGATAAGCTGCTGGTATTTGAGCAAGTCTTGACAGACCCATTTCCTGCTGAACCTGAGGCAAACAAAATCCAAAGGAATAAATATGAATTTGTATAAAACAGATGTGTTTAATTTAGCAAGTACTATCTTAAGTATTAGCCTCATTTTATACCAAAATCTCACTATTAGAAATTCCAAAAATGTTACCTTTTTTTGTCTGATATGACATGATAAGAAACAACTGTATAATATATTTATAACTATAAACATTTGCAAAGATATATATTTTATTTTTAATCATTCAAAATGTGAACAAATTGACTGCTACTGCATATCCACAAGATAATACAGTATATATAATAAGATAACATCAATTTAAATCCTGAACTTTGTGAAAATTTCTCATTAATGTTTGTCTCAAAATTTTAATAATAAATCGGACAATTTCCATAGTACCCAATGACTTGTCCTGCGGGATTGTTCATTAAAATTACAGATGTTACAAAACCTAGGAGAATAAAGATTAATCTTTTTTTTCTTGGGTTAAAAAATCATTTCAGTAATCTAATAACTTTTAGTTGTAACCAAAATCCAGCCAAAGTGAGTGGAGACCTGAGGGAGAATACAAGTGTGGCAATCTGTCGGCAGATTTATGGGTCTAATGGTAATGCCGCACTATTTTCTGTATTCCTATACATCCATAATTTTGGCAAAATATCTGCAGCAACTATGGATGTTCCGTAGAGCTTGAGTACCTTGTTGATTATCAGTGGCGGATCCAGGAATTTGAAACAGAAGGGGCCCAGCGAAGGATTTTCACAGATGGAGGGTAGCTAGGCCACCTCAGCTCCACAATGGTTGGGGCACGAGGTAAGGAAATTTATGATTATGGCACCTCTAGATAGCCAGATATGACACCTCAGACTTAAATTTGAATCATTATTTACTTAAATTTTGAAAAAATTTGAGCTGGCTGGCTGCTTCCCAACCCCACCCCTAAATCCACCACTGATTACCTCACCTGATGTTGTGCCTGGTATTGTTGTAACTGCTGAGCTTGTAGTTGCTGCAGAGCAATCTGGCGATGAGCTGCTTGAAGCTGTATAGCCAAGTCCAGGTGTTGCTGCTGCTGCAGTTGCTGTTGCTGAAGCTGCTGCTGCTGCTGTTGAAATGCCATATGCTGCTGTAGTTGATGGTGATGATGCATTTGTTGCTGAAGATTCTAATAAAAAATAGTAATTGTTAAGAAAATAATTTTATATTGATGCATACTAAAGTAAATGGTAGAGAGGATGTAAGAAATTAACAAGCAATATAGATCCTGGCCTAACTAAGCCTACATAGTAAATATTGTCACACATATTTTCAAGGTCATCATATTCATGTAGTTTCCAATCAATGATATTAAGAAAAATCTGATCAGATTCTACCAATAAAAGTGTACATAGCTTACACCTAAGCCTAGCTTAGTAAGAGGCTTAATTAGGCCTAGGCCTAGTTAGCCTAGCTTAGTCAGCCTGGCCCTAGCCCACGCCCTAGCCTAGGCCCTAGGTAGCCCTATTAAATATATAAAATTAAAAGTGTTCAAAGAAAAAAAGAAAAAATACTGACCTGAATCTGTTGGGGAGACGCAGGTATTTGTTGCAAAGTGTGATGATTTGAGGTACTTAATACGTTTCCATTTGGGAGCTGATTACTTTGTTGCATTGGGGTTGGGTGGCGATTACCAGGAGTAGTATCAACAACAGCGGCTCTAAGCACCGCCGTAGACGCAACATCACTGGTCGCTCCGCCGACGACAGAGTCTCGCCTAGGGCCTAGGCTAGGCCTAACTCCGGATGTTGAAAATGCGGCATTTTCCGCAACATAGTCATGTCCAAGAAGATGTGTGGCTTGAGGTGGAATTGTATGTGTTGTTGGTAGCCTCGTTGAAACATTCAATCCTCCACTAGGGGAAGAAATTGGCATTTGAACAACAGGCTGCTGACTGCTGGGATTCGTAATACTATTGTTGTCCATTATTATTTCTGACACTATTTCCTCATGCTCAAATCCTGTTTTGAAATTACGCCATCCATCGCTTGACTTTCAGCTTTTATTTTTATTAACGAAATTTTAATAGGGTTTATTACGGGAATATGTATGGAGGACAATACCTGTCTCTTATACACATCTAGATGTGTATAAGAGACAGCTACTCTAGGTGTTACTGGCCAGGGGCCAAGACAGATGTGAAAAGCCATATCAAGAGATGTTTCCGGTGCACAGTTAGTAAATCGCAAACCCCAACAATCAAGCCACCGTTACGTCATCTTCTTGCTTTCAGGCCACTGGAGTTGGTAGCCATCGACTTCCTTAAGCTGGACAGAGGTAGAGGAGGATTTGAAGATGTCTTGGCCATAACTGATGCGTATTCTAAGTTTGCAGCTTCTGTTCCGTGCAAGGACCAATCGGCTAAAAGCATAGCGAGGGCTCTTTGAGATAATTGGTTTGTTTGCTATGGGGTACCGGATAGGATTCATTCCGACCAGGGCAAAAATTTTGAAAGCCATGTGATTAAGGAGCTATGCAAGGTATACAATATAACGAAATCCCTGCAATATTTCCCTCCCTTCTATTAACTACGGATCCGATGTATGGTGTAGCCAGACAATTTCTCATAGGAGGTTACCAACGACGAATTCTTCGCTACTTGGCAAATTCAGAGGTTGTTCTACGATGGCCCATAAGTGTCACGGCAACAACTTTTGAAATGTCACGGGCATATTTTCGAAATTCACGGCAACAACTTTCGAAACCACACGGCACACTTTAAAAAGTCACGGTATGCTTTCAAAATTCACCGCACACTTTTAAAAACCACGGCACACTTTCAAAATCACAACTTCCGCTGTGGAAATTACGCTTCCGCCGTGAGGTTCACGGCGGAAGTGATAGAAATTTAATTTTTTAAAACGTTTGGCCGCCGGTGGGAACATGTGAGTTGCTAAAATACAACCACTTCAGCCTGGGCTACATGTCGGAATGACTAGGAGACCTAGCCATTGCCCAGTCCTGCCCGGTCACACGATACTAGGCGATCATTTTCTTTCACGTTAAGCTAGGCCTATGCAGAATATGACCCTCTCTCTATGCCTGGCTACTGAATTGTCCTGAATTATTATTTAATAAATAACTTTTATGCAATTACAATACAGACATGGGAAAAGTTAATATCATTAATTATTATTAACTTTCCGTCATCCCTTTCTAGGCCTATGACATGGCAATTTTGTTTAACAGCAATGAAACAAAATGATAAATCTTAACTTTAGCATTCACACATAAACATAAAATTTATAGACCGTATTTTATTGTAGTATCCCGTGAAGTAGTATTATCCTCATTAGACAATTATTGTTTTTTGTTTTATGATTACGGCCTCCCTACCCCTATAATAAGACAAGCTATAGGCCTATGTATTACTTATTTACTTTTTGCATTGTGATATTCCAGGGATCCTAATTTAAAAAAAACCAAAAAACCAAAAACAGGGACATAGACTAGCTAACTTACTATTTTGTCTTATGTTTGTACGGTACTGTATTTTGTTATGCCGTGTGATTACCAGCCCCCCCCCCCCACCTTGTTTTTAAAACTATAGAACCACTTCAGCCGAGGGAGCGTGGCTACTTATGGTGACGACATGACAAGCATAATTTCAGCTGTACTACGTAGGGCCTTTATTCCAATCTTCAAGACAAAGAGTGGGCCCTGGTAAACACAGAGTTTCTTAGTAAAAATAAAATACCCAAGGATTTGAACGGAATACCCAAGAACCCAAGACCATGTCAAAATACCCAAGATCTTGGGTAAATACCCAAGCAGTGGTCACACTGGTTTCGTCATCTATCGTTCACATGGAGCGGAGTTGGATTTGTCGTTCGACGAAGCATTATTCTTTCTTAAATAAACATAAAAATTACAATTTTTCATGGGACCTCATTTATGCAACATGTGTTTAATTGTTAATCAGTTTATTATGTATGTATTTTTATTTATTGCACAGGATTTACTGATTATGTTTGGAATTCGAGGTTTATAAAAGGATATGGTTGTGTGGTTAATCCTGGTGCTTTCTAAGACGGAGTCGACGTTAACACATACCATTAGACAGTAGAGTCTCTAGATAGTCTGATGACAATGATGCACTCTTTGTAATACAAATAATGAAGAAGACATAGGATAGGCCTACTTTTTATTTACTTGTCCTGCTCTCCTAAACATGTTTTTCGTCTTTTGCTTTGATAATTTTTAATCATTTTGATAGTCACTCCCAATGGAAAAAGCAATTTACAACATCGACATTGAATTGGATGCATCATTGTATAAGGTAGATAACAAAGGAAAATTATTTATCAAAAAGTTAAAAGTATATTGTTTAGTTTGAGAGAGTATTACTCGGTTGACCAATACTATCCTTTTTATTTCCCCTCTCATACTCATTTTTATTTATTTATTTTTTAACTTCTTCATTTCGAAGGTTCATTGTCCCCGCCTATAAAAATATTGATTAAATATAAATAAGTTACAGATAAAAAAATTACAATGGGGCTTACATGATTTCATTCTGCAACACCGCAACGTTAAAATACCAGTAAAACTTGAATTGAGTGATTATTATTCTTAGGTTACTAATGTCCTTGATCCTTCAATTTATTCTTATTCGTTGGTATTAGCACAGGCCTTCTTGCAGATAATCAATAAATAATTCAACTTTTAATGGTGGTAAGTTTAATATACAGTATGAACAAATATTGAATTATAGATACATTAATTTCTTTAATGGTATGTTATTATGATGAATTTTACATGAAAAAGCCATTCATATTATTGATATTTGCACAAGCAAGCCAATTTTGCAATAATGCAAACTATAAACTATACGCTAAAACGTGCTGGTGGTATAATTAAATTGTACTCGCTATGTTACCATTTTCATACAAACCGACAGTCGTTGAGTACCATAGTGAACGAGTGCATTATCAGATCTTTATAAGAAGAAGCAACTGTATATTCACACTTGGGAAAATGTTCTTGATTTCCTTCCTTCTGACTTTCTCTGCATCTGGTGGTATGTAGTACGGAAGCTTAAAGTGGCCTTCCGCGTTTCCGAGTTTCCAAGATAATTATCATGGAAACATGGAATAAGTATTTATTAAGACGTCTTTCCGAGATAATTTATCTCGGAAAGACGGATTTCCGAGATAATTTATCTTGGAAAGAAGGAATTCCAAGATAATTTATCTTGGAAAGACGGAATTCCAAGATAATGTATCTTGGAAAGACGTCTTTCCAAGATATGTTATCTTGGAAAGACGGAATTCCAAGATAACATCGAGGAGACGAAATTCAAAATTCAAACATAGCCTGAAAGCTGTAGTAATTATAAGGAAAGTTGAGCTACCTGTAACTTACCAATGGATAGG